ACTATACTGAAAAACTAAAAATTATTTTGCATATTAAATGCCTTAAGGCCCTAAAGGAAAAACATAATTTAAGTCTTTACGTACGTGTATATAAGCAGACACGTTCTTCTATTGTATGCCTACTCATACTTGCAACACATGCAACACTTACTCACTTCCACACTCACGCGCTTGACGACGTGTGCCTTATTTGGTTATTTCATAGAGAACTAAGACGAGCGAGTTATTGCCAAAGAAATGTGTCACATTTCAAATTCCACAACAATTAAGTTTTCAATGGTTAATGAATGTTCTTGTTTTCGGTTCGGTTCGGTTTTTTTTTTTTTCTTTTTTGTTAAGAGTGACAAGAACAACAATGAACAAGTCATTTAGCTGACAATTGTTTATTTATTAATTTAGTCGTTTATAACAATATAGACATAATTATAAATTCATAAGTACTGTAATAGATTTGAAATTGAAAAATCATTAGATATTGAGTTGGCGTTTAAGTAAATATTTGCAAAGGCTAATTTGTTATAATTTCAAATGTTAATTATTTGAATAGATGTTATTTTTTCTCCCAAAATCAATAATGAAATGTACACGTTTTTAAGATGCTACACCCCAAGATTGATTTTATCATAAATACATCCCAGCAAAAACTTACATTGAAAAGTAAAGGTATAAAATGTTAAAAGTTACTTACATAATAGCTTTTTATGTAATTATGTATGTTAACACGGGGATGACATGGGAGGCAAGCACGCTCGCTTACAAATAGGTACTTAAGTAAGTACTTACTACGATCGCCTGCAAATAGGGAGTTAAGTTTTGTTTCTGTGAAAAAAAATTCTACGAGAATACGCCCACTGCGTCTAATATTAGTTTTCACAAAAAAAAAAATGATTTTGTTTGTGTGAAAACAATATGTTAAGGCTGAAAAGTAAGTACTTACATAATATATTATTTGTAAGTTGTTGCTAGATTCATTCTATGTAATGTAGACGGTATGTCGTAGTCATTGAAAAGTAACTTGTTGAGTAAGTACAAATCATTACCATGTTTTTGATGAGTGTTATAAACGAGTATTATGCATATGTATTTCCATATAAAAACAAGTAAGAAATTATAGTCGGGAGAGGCCGACCATATAATACCCTACACCTTTGACAAAAATATAATGTGATTTATTTGCCATAATAAAGCATTTAAATTGAATTGTACCTTGCCTCAGATATACATACTTAAGCCGTTTATTGTTGAATAAAATTGCGACCTGTAGTTTGATTACAAAGTTTAAAAGGCCTATTCGGGGGTTCAGTTGTATGGGTGCTAGGTGAAATGATGGACCGATGTTAACCATTTTTAATGGACTTTGTCTACGGTACCATGAAAGATCATGTGCCAAATTTCATTGAATTATCTCCAAAATTGCGACCTGTAGTTTGATTACAAAGTTTAAAAGCCCTATTCGGGGGTTCAGTTGTATGGGGGCTGGGTGAAATAATGGACCGATGTTAACCATTTTCAATAGGCTTCGTCCCTGGGACAATAGAAGATCATGTACCAAATTTCATTGAATTATCTTCAAAATTGCGACCTGTAGTTTGATTACAAGGTTTACATGGACGGACAGACAGACAGACAGACGGACGGACGGCTCAGAAAATGATTCTGAGCCGATTGGTATACTTTAAGGTGGGTATAGGACCAATATTATTGTGCGTTACAAACATCAGCACAAACACAATATACCCTCCCCACTGAAGTAATGTAGGGTATAATTATGTGGATCCGATAATCAAAGCTATAACGAAAATTATCCTATATTCATTATTTGTGCTCTGTAAGATCTGCAATATTACAAACGATCTAAAACCTATCTATGAGAATTCTACTTAAATACAAAAAGTAATTGCATGTGAAATCAATTCACCTTTTAAATAACCCTGCTAATGGAAATTTACAAAGAGGAAAAAATTAAATTTAAATAAATGTTAATCTTCATTGTTACATGAAACTATTTATACATAAGTATTGAAGTAAAAAAGATGAGGCAAACTAACAACTACAATATGTTTAAATGAGAGAAAGTTCGACAGTTGTAAATGTCAAATACATGATGAACTTTAATAGTTAAATCCATGAATATATTTATAGTTACTTAGTCATCATCATTCATTCATTCATACACCAAAGTCATCATGCTTTAAAATCAATTGAATACTTGATACATAACGTTGCATAAATATATATACATATATATGTTTTTCTTCTTCTCAGCATAATAATGATCAGTTTCAAAATTACATTATTCATGGTTTGAGGGAAATACATATTTACATATGTACATATATGTATGTAAATTTACACAAGCATCTGGATATTTGGAGATTTTATAACTGACTGTTTTGTAAACAGCAACAAACGAAGTGTATAAAACTTGAGTTAAGTACTAGGTTGGAGTACATTTCTGTACTATACCGATACTCGTAAAGCCATGCCATGCCAATGACTGTCAATTGTCTCTCTACAACTCATAACCTATAAAAACAAATAGTCAAATACTCAAAAGGTATTTATTGCACATATTCAATCATAAAATCAATTATAGAAAATACTCAAGGTGACCAACTAAACTTTGCAAACCATTCTAACCCAAGCGTACTAGTTGCTGGGAAAATTTATTTCTTTAAATCGAAATATCGAAAATTTTATATAAAAAGTGCAAATTTTATCGAACATTTTCTATAAATGTGCAAATTTATCGAAATTTTTCTTTAAAAATAGAAAATTTATCAAAAGTTTTGTTAAAAAAGCTAATTTATTGAAAGTTTTCTATAAATAGACAAAGTTTATCGAACACTTTCAATAAAATGAGACAATTTATAGAACATTTTCTATAAAATGAGAAAATTTATAGAACATTTTCTATGAAAAAAGACAATTTTTTGAAAATTATCTATATAATTAGAAAATCAACTGAACATTTTCTATATAAAGAGAACATTTTGAAAATTTTCCAAAAATCGAAAATTTTTCACAAAAAGAAATTTTATCGGAAATTTTCTATAAAAAGAAAATTTATCAAAAATTTTCTATAATAGAAATTTATCCAAAATAGAAACATTATCGAAAATTTTATATAAAAGGAGAAATTTTATCGAAAATCTTCTTTAAAAAGAAAATTTATCGAACATTTTCTTTAAAAAGAAAATTTATCGAACATTTTCTATAAAAAGAAAATGTATCGAAAATTTTCTATAAAAAGAAAATATATCGAAAATTTTCTATAAAAAGAAAATTTATCGAAAATGTTCTATAAAAAGAAAATTTATCGAAAATGTTCTATAAAAAGAAAATTTATCGAAAATGTTCTATGAAAAGAAAATTTTCGAAAATGTTCTATGAAAAGAAAATTTATCGAAAATTATCTATGAAAAGAAAATTTATCGAAAATGTTCTATGAAAAGAAAATTTATCGAAAATTTTCTATGAAAAGAAAATTTATCGAAAATGTTCTATGAAAAGAAAATTTATCGAAAATGTTCTATGAAAAGAAAATTTATCGAAAATATTCTATAAAAAGAAAATTTATCGAAAATGTCTATAAAAAGAAAATTTATCGAAAATGTTCTATAAAGAGAAAATTTATCGAAAATGTTCTATAAAAAGAAAATTTATCGAAAATGTTCTATAAAGAGAAAATTTATCGAAAATGTTCTATAAAAAGAAAATTTATCGAAAATTTTATATAAAAAGAAAATTTATCGAAAATTTTCTATAAAAAGAAAATGTATCGAAAATTTTCTATAAAAAGAAAATATATCGAAAATTTTCTATAAAAAGAAAATTTATCGAAAATGTTCTATAAAAAGAAAACTTATCGAAAATGTTCTATAATAAGAAAATTTATCGAAAATGTTCTATAAAAAGAAAATTTATCGAAAATGTTCTATAAAAAGAAAATTTATCGAAAATGTTCTATAAAAAGAAAATTTATCGAAAATGTTCTATAAAAAGAAAATTTATCGAAAATGTTCTATAAAAAGAAAATTTATCGAAAATGTTCTATAAAAAGAAAATTTATCGAAAATGTTCTATAAAAAGAAAATTTATCGAAAATGTTCTATAAAAAGAAAATTTATCGAAAATGTTCTATAAAAAGAAAATTTATCGAAAATGTTCTAGAAAAAGAAAATTTATCGAAAATGTTCTATAAAAAGAAAATTTATCGAAAATGTTCTATAAAAAGAAAATTTATCGAAAATTTTCTATAAAAAAAAATTATCGAAAAAGAAAATTTTTTAAATGGAGAAAATAACAATAAAAGTTATATAAAACTTTCTATAAATCGAGAAATTATGGAAAATAGTAAATTTATCAATAATGTTTTGTTAATAGAAAAATTCTAAAAAATTAAGTCATTTCAAGATTCATTCGATTTATTTCATTAGAAATATCAGTTGGTGTTCTTAAACACCTCAGCATACCTTAGCATTTATAACAATGATATTATGCAGGCTTCCAGCATTCCAAGGCATGCTTTATTTCTTCCTGACAACATTAACAACTTTACTCAACAACAAACATTTGCTCATCTCTTTCCTCACATCTTATTTTACATAAAATAAACCACAACAAACCGCAATCAATACTGCAACGTATTTGCAAATTTTGCTTCATTTTTTGTTTTATAAAAACAATGTAAAAAGAAATTGCCCACAAAAAAAATAGAAAAAACTACAACAATTTGGAAAAAAAGAAAACATTTCCCAGAATCGTGCTTGAATGCTGTTTGACAACAAAAACTATTTTTTTACACAATGTTGCAGGTTATTGGTTGTTTGCAATGTTGGTTGGTGCACTTCTGTGTATGAGTTTGAAAGAAAATGATGATGCGCTTACTCCTTGTGTATTGATGACTTGTTTATTGTTTTTATTTAAAAATAGCAACTACAACAACTACACTAAAATAAACAATTTGCATATATGCAGGTCTTCTCCTTAAAACTTGCCACATTCCAATGCAACCCACCATCTTAAGACAACCTCATCGTCGTCATCATCATCATCTTCTTCATCATTTTCTACCATAAGTTTTCTGTATGTGTGGATTAATAGTTTGAATTAGTTAGAAATACGAGGGGAACACAATTTTTTTAAAATCGTTTTACTTGATCTGTTTGCAAATGTTAAACACTTAATAATAAGTGAAAATAAATAAAAATATTAATTAGTTTGCTAATAGGGGATTATTATTCCAGGAACAACTTTGAAATGTTTTAATTATTAAGTATTGTACTGAGATGTATATTGGGAATATATCGTGCCCGTTACTTCTCTGGAGTTTTAAACATAATCACTAAAGAATTTAACAAAGAAAGTATTCTTTAAAATATAGAAACAAATTCTATAAATTTTATTAAAAATTTTCTAAAAAGAAAATTTATTGGAAATTTTCTATAAAAAGAAAATTTATTCAAAATTTTCTATAAAAAGAAAATTTATTCAAAATTTTCTATAAAAAGAAAATTTATTGAAAATGTTTTATAATAAAAATAATATTTATCAAAAATTTTCTATAAAAAGAAAATTTATTAATAATTTTCTATAAAAAGAAAATTTATTGAAAATTTTCTATAAAAAGAAAATTTATTGAAAATTTTCTATAAAAAGAAAATTTATTGAAAATTTTCTATAAAAAGAAAATTTATCAAAAATGTTCTACAAAAAGAAAGTTTATCGAAAATTTTATATAAAAAGGTAATTTATAAAAAATGTTCTATAAAAAGATGAATATTCCATAAAAGAAAATTTATCGAAAATTTTCTATAAAATGAAAATTTATCGAAAATGTTCTCTAAAAAGAAAATTTATCGAAAATGTTCTTTAAAAATAAAATGTATCGAAATGTTCTATAAAAAGAAAATTTTTCGAAAATTTTCTATAAAAAGAAAATTTAAAATCAAAAAATATTTTAAAATTTTCTATAAAAAGAGAACAATTTATCCAAAACCTTTTTATAAGGAGAAAATTTATAAATTTTTTAACAATTCAGGAATTTATCGATTTTTTTAATAAGATTTAAGTTAAGACTTCTCCTAAAAGGATTTTTGTCGTCCTAACCACCTTTCTATTATTTCAGGTGGTCATTCGCGATTCTTTCATCAATGTGTCCCCAAATGCTCATATAGATTAAAATTTGACAAAATGGGAGGACTAAAAATAATGGACGTGCACCTCCCATATAAAGATATTATTAATTTGGAAATCTGGGAAAATATAAGAGTTAGAGTTCTAATTTTTATACCCACCATCAAAAAAGATGGAGGTATATTGACTTTGTCATTCTGTTTGTAACACATAGAAATATCGCTCATAAACCCCATAAAGTATATATATTCTGGGACCTTGTAAAACTCTAAGACGATCTACTATATGTCTGTCCGTCCGTTTGTTAAAGGCACGATAGAGCCCAGAGGAATGGACGTAGGAAGATAAAATATTCTACATTGATCAGACATGTTTGGTATTGAAAATGGGCAATATCGGTCAACGCCTTCACATAGTGGTGAAGCCCCGGAATATTGTTCAAATCGTCATAAAAATGTTAATTTGTCAGTAAATGTAATGATATTCCGTTAGTTAGTTTTATGTATCCAGAAACTATTCCGTAAAGTATGGCTGACATTCCCCTATAACAGACTCTACCCACCATAGAAGTGAACTATATTTTAATAAAAATTTTATATAAAGAAAGAATTATTCGAAAACATTCTATAAATAAGTGATCGAAAATATTTGGTAAATAGAAAATTTCTTTAAATAGAAAATTTGTTAAGAAAACCGTCTATACCTTTATCCCCATCGTAACGTTTTAAGTTAAAGTCTACATACAACATTCAAATATAACAAATTTTGTAAAAGTTTTCACCTGCCAAATTGTTATCAATATTTAAAAGAAAATTAACAACGCCCCAATTAACACGCTCATCTAAGTGTTGGTATTAAGATAATGTTTTGGTTATACTTTAAAAAAAAAGGGATCTTAAGAAGACCAATTAGTATAAAATTTATGTACAAAATACGTAAATATATAAACAGATATTGACCAGTAGCTAAGCTAAGTTAACCACAATTTCTCAAGCGTAAAATTGCTTAGCAACTGAACTACTTAAGAGTAAGTATTAATCGGTCCAAACAAAAAAAAAACAAAACAAAAACCAGCTAAATAGTTAAAACCGAAAAAAAGCGAACAAATCTAAAATTCCTCAACTTGTTGATAATGAGTTGTTTTTCTTTTCGTATTAATAGTGTTGAAAAGAACAAATTGTAGCACTTAAGAAAAAAACCAATACAATGTTACAATGTTGCAGGATGTGCACGGACTACAAGTACCCAACCAACGAACGGAACACCAGGAACATCAGACCAACAGCAACAACAACAAGTGTTGTGCACTGGTAACAATTAATTAGCATGTTTCACTTGGGAACAAAGAGGCGACATTAACAGCGTTAAAAATTCCTGCAACATAACAACCAACAGCTGCAAATTTCACTGACCACCAACATTATGATGAACAAAAAATAACGTTCTTTTTTTGACTTTTGCTTAATTTCCTTGGAACATGAACAGCAACAGGATACTTTTTACATGTATGTGTATATATTTAAAATTGTTTGTTTTTTGCTTATTTATTACTTTTTTTTTTTGACTGAATAAAATGATGATTAAAATTAACAACTGAAACAACAACAACAACTACCGAAACATTTCAACATTATTCCCGTCGTAGAATGTTCTCTTTTCAAGTCAATTCCCATTTCATTCGATATAATTTTTAGCGATCAACAAAAAAGATGGTGGCATTGATTTTATCATTCCGTTTGTAACACATCGAAATATTTGTTGGACACCCATCGTCATTAGACCAAATGATCTTCCCATATCTGGCCGTGTGTGTGTTTGAAAGTACTAGATCAAATATCGGTCTCTAATTTCACTTGATTTCTATAAAATAAAAACCTTAAATACTTTTTAAATAGTCATAAACATAGCAGTAAAATATAGCGCAAGTCGGCCTTCATAATAGGTCGCGTTCATAATCAGTCCATAATATACCATACCCTTCATATAACGCCTTTAACAGGAAGTCTTTATAAACAATAAACTATAAATAAGAGAATCGTAGTAACATGCAGATCTAAATGCGTCCATAGGGCCGCCCTACTCACTACACTGGTTTTGATAAAATGATAAAAGATCGCTGCCATACAGATCGAATTGCACCTATAAGGTCGCCCTACTAACTACACTTGTTTCGATATGGTGAGTATAAAAGATTCGACATAGCCGAATAAAACACTCTTACTTGTTTTTTAACTGTCTGCTTGGTTCCTTACAGGGTTAGATGGCTGCTTGTCTTTTTGGATGGATGGTTGGTTAGTTGTTTGGCTGTTCGGTTGTTTGGTTTGGTATGGTCATTACTGGTATTGTTGATCATTTAGTAAGTCAACATATATTAGCACCTTTGACTGTGGTATCATTTTCTTAATGTAATGTTTGTTTACATAATGTTTTTTTTCTTTTCGCTAGGGGTAATAGCTATTTCTCAGAACACGTTAATTTGTAAAGAAAAATTTACATTCTTAATAAGAAAAATTTATTAATTTTTGAAAGCTTTTAGACTATAGACTAGACTTTAGACTAGACTATAGACTAGACTATAGACTAGACTATAGACTAGACTATAGACTAGACTATAGACTAGACTATAGACTAGACTATAGACTAGACTATAGACTAGACTATAGACTAGACTATAGACTAGACTATAGACTAGACTATAGACTAGACTATAGACTAGACTATAGACTAGACTATAGACTATAGACTTGACTATAGACTAGACTATAGACTAGACTATAGACTAGACTATAGACTAGACTATAGACTAGACTATAGACTAGACTATAGACTAGACTATAGACTAGACTATAGACTAGACTATAGACTAGACTATAGACTAGACTATAGACTAGACTATAGACTAGACTATAGACTAGACTATAGACTAGACTATAGACTAGACTATAGACTAGACTATAGACTAGACTATAGACTAGACTATAGACCTAGACTATAGACTAGACTATAGACTAGACTATAGACTAGACTATAGACTAGACTATAGACTAGACTATAGACTAGACTATAGACTAGACTATAGACTAGACTATAGACTAGACTATAGACTAGACTATAGACTAGACTATAGACTAGACTATAGACTAGACTATAGACTAGACTATAGACTAGACTATAGACTAGACTATAGACTAGACTATAGACTAGACTATAGACTAGACTATAGACTAGACTATAGACTAGACTATAGACTAGACTATAGACTAGACTATAGACTAGACTATAGACTAGACTATAGACTAGACTAGACTATAGACTAGACTATAGACTAGACTATAGACTAGACTATAGACTAGACTATAGACTAGACTATAGACTAGACTATAGACTAGACTATAGACTAGACTATAGACTAGACTAGACTAGACTATAGACTAGACTATAGACTAGACTATAGACTAGACTATAGACTAGACTATAGACTAGACTATAGACTAGACTATAGACTAGACTATAGACTAGACTATAGACTAGACTATAGACTAGACTATAGACTAGACTATAGACTAGACTATAGACTAGACTATAGACTAGACTATAGACTAGACTATAGACTAGACTATAGACTAGACTATAGACTAGACTATAGACTAGACTATAGACTAGACTATAGACTAGACTAGACTAGACTATAGACTAGACTATAGACTAGACTATAGACTAGACTATAGACTAGACTATAGACTAGACTATAGACTAGACTATAGACTAGACTATAGACTAGACTATAGACTAGACTATAGACTAGACTATAGACTAGACTATAGACTAGACTATAGACTAGACTATAGACTAGACTAGACTATAGACTAGACTATAGACTAGACTATAGACTAGACTAATAGACTAGACTATAGACTAGACTATAGACTAGACTATAGACT